AAGTAGAACGACTTTATGTACCAGAAGAAGTAGAAGAAAAAGTAGTAGAAGAAGAATGAGAAGTAGAAAAACAATAGTAGAAGAAGATTCAGTGGGAAGTTAGCAGGTTAATGTAACATCAGGTTAAAGCACTAAACTACAGATCACACCAGAAGATGTAGCATATTGATGTTAGTTGATTAGCCTAGTGCTAACCTGTTAGCATCTGGATGGTCTCTTCATCATTATACATCATTTTGATCTGAAGCTACGTTTGAGAGTTTGCTAATGTTAGCTTAGCTTATTTTACACAGAGCACAGTGCTCTATTGTATTGTATTGTTCCAGGTAATAAACATTGCTGTCAATGAACGGCACTTTCATTGTTATGTTGTTTGTCACAGGCCAAAGAGAAAAGCACCGTGTCGACCCGTTACAGCTGAAAAAAAAAAAATCCATTGGGCACTTATTAGCTTCTTTGACATGATAACAGCAGCTTGTAGAAGATGTTGTAATCCATGTAGAAAGAGACTGTTAAAGTTATGCAACAGTGAGATTGAGCGATTGTGCCTCAGAGCTGCTGTCATGTGATACCTCACACCCAGCAGTGTGTGTGTGTGTGTGTGTGTGTGTGGCCACATTCCTCTGTATATTAAGGTGGCGCTCAGGTAAACGGACAGTGTGTTGATGCACATCACTGGTTGTGTTGTGGTTGTTTTCAGACACTGTGTCTTTAGTAGAGACTGTATACACTGATATACTGACCGAGGCAGCCGCTTTGCACCACTCACACCTGACCAGAAACACACACACACAAACACACACACACACACACACATCTCTGTAGCTGGCATATTGACACACATGCGGGTTAAGGTGTAATCCAGTCGATGGGCGGGTTATCAGCAGGTCACGTCGATCAGATCATGGAGCGAAGTGAGAGAAATCAGATATGTTGGTTTAAGTGAAGTTAAGCTCAGTGATGAGATAAGATCAAAAACGCCTCATTAGATAATTGATGGATTAGTCAGCTGACAGGCTCATTGATTAGGAATCAGTCTGAAACTTTCACCAGAATACAGATCTGACAGTTTCTGATCAATATCATGTTTTATTGTGATTAGACATTAAGAAGAAGAGTGTTTGTTATGATGAAGCAAAGTGTTGCCTTCAAGGACACGCAGCTGTTTGTTCCTCTCAGTGCCGGTATTAGCCAGAGTGGCGGTGAAAAGTTGTTTGTTGGCTTCATCGATTTGCTCTTGTACCTGTTGGCACACAACAACTCAGCTAAGCTTGTCGACAAGATCCCTGAAGACTCACACACACACACACACACACACTGACACCAACACGCACACACACACACACACACTGAAGGTAAATGCATTACATATTCAGTGACCGTCCTCGAATCATTTAATCTCTTACTAAGTGTGCTCATGTATGCATATGTGGCAGCACTGTCAGAGCAGCCTGTAATGTCTTATTTATATTCCACCCTATGCAGCCACACGCGCGCACACACACACACACACACACACACACACACACCTCAAATGCAGATGTATCTGCAACAATCATTAGTACAAGTAGCTGGACCTCTCGTGAGGGAGCTGTGGGATTGATTCATTAAGTCAGTCACTTGTGTGACACTTGTGTGTGTGTGTGTGTGTGTGTGTGTATGTGTGGACTTTTCCCAGTGACACCCACTTGCTCTGAGATAAATGAGCGTCATCAACCTTAAATTAATTACGACTCACTCCTCGCCGCCCTTCGTTCTCACTCTTCCTCCAGTAGAGGTGTGTTGAGACGTGATCATGTGATCAGGTGTTAGTCTCATCCCCTCGGGTACGAGCTCCGCGTCTCTGCGTCATCACCTCCATAATTGACAAGGTCCAATAGCTGTTGACGATAAACCATAAAGAAGCGTCCCAGTCCTTCTGCGCACCCTGAAGGACAGGCACACAGGGAGGTGAGAACTTCTCCCAGTGCTCCCAGTCAAACCAGTCCCACTGTGACAGACTGAACCGGTGTTAATATGGTTAAATGAATGGAATAAAGTTTTGCACAATTGAATTAGAAAATGCTGAAGCTCATTGGCTCATTAGACAATAAATTAATAAATTATTGGTTAATCACATTAGCAACAGTTTATCAATAGATGTATGTATCTATCAGCTCCTGTCTCATCTTTTAAACAGGTGTAACACAGCTCCTGTCACTCAAAGGTCAAAGGTCATGATGTGTAAAGACAAAAAACAAACAAACCTGAAGTGAATGCCAAAAAAAAAACTTTTCATGACCTTTGACGTCACGTCTCCGAGGTTCAATACTTGATTGGATTTTCAGGAATGTATCGACGCGATTAACCTTCGATCTCCTTACGTAACCGCGGTGACGCCATGACGACTGAATATCACACAGCCCAGCACTGACACATTGACCCGTAGAAGATGTTGGTCTGAAGACGGCCTCGTTGTACATTGATCCACGGCTGCAGCAAAAATATTTTTCTATCTTGAGACTTTCATTAAGGGCAGAGCTGCAGCCCTGTGGGGGGCGAGTGTGTGTGTGTGTGTGTGTGTGTGTGTGTGTGTGTGGCAAAAGTATTATTCACTCAGATCACTGAGAAGCAGTGGGGGATTTTGACAGGGATCTCAGTGTGTGTGTATGTGTGTGAGGCTCCAGTAAAAGGAGCTGGAGGTAACTGAGGTCCTTCCAGAGCAGCAGCCGGACAAACTTTTGCCCCGGACACCTGATGAAGCTGCTGCTGCTGCTGCTGCTGCAGCCTGTGGCCTTGAATATAATCAGCCCTGTGCTCGTCTCTGAGTCTGGACACGTCCCTCAGTGGACAGTCCACATCTGTGAGCGGACACCCAGAGGTTTCAGTTCGACATCAAGGGGAATTTATTCACAGACCTGACGACACTGAGGTTTAATCCACTGTCGTACGCACTCAACACTCTGTCAAAGATCGATCGATTAACAAATCGCAGGTGTTAAAGTTTTGTTTTTCTGAAGCTACAACAACAAATAATGTATGTTAGATAAGATTAGATGCAGCTGTGAGGAGATAATGTCATGATAATGATATTAAGGAAATTTCCATGTTCATCTTTCTGTTGCCTGTCAGTCATTCATTATTCAGCAGGTCATAAGCCAGTATTGACCTTTGACCTGGAGATCTCCGCTGCCTCCGAGCTGCTCTGTTTCTGAGGTAGCATGTAGCTAACGTCTAAATAAAGACAAAATGTAAAGCACAAAAACAAGAGTCGTGATGTTTGTCTAAGGCCCCCCCCAGATCTGTGTGAGGTGTCTGGTATTTCCCTGCAGCACTTGAACGCAGCGTCTGCCCCTGTGTCTCTTACATAACCACAGTGTGAGCGAAGCCGTCGTGTTATTGTCCTGCTCCACTCCGACAAACAGCTGCTGACCTCTGACCTCCTGAAGTTCACTGTGACCTCAGCTCGGTCACTGGTTTGACTCAGCACCTCACAGACCCAAGGGGACAGACACGACACGAGTGACAGCTGAATTTTATTGATCACTCATTGGTCATCGTCTCAGAAATATTCATCTCTGACAGATTGATCATTATCTGTAGTTTGACTTTAGCTCTTGTTGAGACCAGACTGATGTTTGATTTTTATTTTTGGGAACATTTTGGGTCAATAAGTTGATATTCTCATAACTTCCACCTGTTGCTTTGGGTCATTAAGATATAATTGATATTAATGGATGGATATTGGTACAGAAATGACACATTCTAGTGACAAAGAGGTTTTAACGCAGCCTGATTTCACTGTATATCATCGTGTAAATAAAGTTTATTGAAATCTAAGTTTGTCAGGGTGCTGCCTGTTGCTGTTGTGTCATCATTACAGGTGTTATCACCTTGTGTAATCCAGACAACACAAGGAAATCAAACAACATGAGGGGTTTGTTTGGCCTGATCTTTTGGTCACATGTCAAAGTTTGATATTGACACAAATGTCTGGAGACATTTCACTATCAGAGTCGTATCAGTCGGACCTTTGTTTTCTGTCGGCACGAATCAGAGCAGCTGCAGAATCATGATGTTTGAACCTGGTGTGTTCAAGGACCTCTGTTCTTATTTATTCTCCTTCTTCTTCTTCCTCTGTGGTTTATTTGAAGTTTTATTTATGAAAAAGGTAAATTCTCTCTCTCTTCTGATTGGCTGACTGTTTCTGAGTGATCCAATAAAACAGAGCAGATTTCAGAAGAAAACAGTCAAGAAAAACCAAATCCTGCAAAGTGTTGGATGAATGGTGGCTCCAGGTGGTGGGCGGGGCTTTGGGTGACTGCTTTGTTGTGACATCACAAAGTGACAGGAAGTCCTGACAGCTGGTTTTAAGGCTCAGTGTCGAATACAGGCTGTGTGCATTTCTCTGTGGACTGAGGCTTTGATACTTTCACAGTATTAATACAGAACCTGGAGCTGATCAATAATAAACAAAAACATCTCACTTTATTCAATATGGGACCTTTAATATCCTCAAACGCTCTGATGTAATTGGTCCAATAAGTGGATTTAACCAAAGCACTAGAGCAGAGCGTTCCCACCCCCACCCCACCCCCCACCCATCCAAGTGCTTTAGCTTCATGATTATTTGGGAGATTTCGGTTTGGGTGGGGCAACAATCCCAAAACTCTTCTCACCAGGCCACGCAGCACTGATGCCAGATCAATATATGCAGATTAGCTGGGTTATGAAAGAGGGATTATATCGGACTTCTTCTGGTTTTAGGGGATGTTACACCACAAAAGCTGCACTTACTGCCTGCTCTAGTGTAAGATTATTCACCACACGCACTAGCACACACACACACACACACACACACACACACACACACACACACCCCACTTCTTCTCCTCAGCTTTTATTTCAACACAGTTTGCCGAAATGCTTCCTCTGTCCCCTGTGTGTGTGTGTGTGTGTGTGTGTGTGTGCACATGAAGTGAGTAAACTTAATTGAGCTAATCTCATTTTTGCGTGAGGGCGGCACGGTGGTGCAGTGGTGGTGCACTGTTGCCTCACAGCAAGAGGGCTCTGGGTTCGAACCCCCGGCCAGCTGGGGCCCTTCTGTGTGGAGTTTGCATGTTCTCCCTGTGCATGCGTGGGTTCTCTCCCGTTACTCCGCTTCGTCCCACAAAACCAAAGACGTGCAGGTTAGGTGAATTGGTGACTCTAAATTGCTCATAGGTGTAATGGTTGTCTGTCTGTGGTGTGTGTTAGCTCTGGGATGGACTGGGACAGTCAGCTGAGATCAGCTCCAGCTCTCCTGCAGCCCTACTGAGGAGAAGTGGTATAGAAAATGAATGAATGAGTCGACTCGCATGATAAAGCTGAGGAAGTTAATCCCTTAAAACAGAGTAAAAGTTATGTGTGTGTGTGTGTGAGTGTGTGTGAGTGTGTGTGTGTGTGTGTAGTGTCCCTGTTGGTGTATTGACGTCCCACTCTCATTCAGATTCAATTAACACTTCCCTCTTGCTGTGTATTTCCTGTGAGACCCCGATTCTTTAAAAGCTTCTGTTTATATCATAAGTGTGTGTGTGTGTGTGTGTGTGTGTGTATGCGTGTGTGTGTGTGCGTGTGTGTGTGTAATCCCTGCTAATATATAGTCACAGTTACACTTCTAGGATCTCTTAGTTTCTGATCCAAAACAAACATTCGTCTTCTTCTTCTTCTTCTCTCTCTTCTCTCTGTCTTCTTCGTGTCCTCTTCTTCATCTTTGTTCTGCCTCTTCCTCCTCTTGTCTTTCTTTATCACATTCCCGTCCTCCTCCTTTCTCTTGTCCTTTTCCTCTTCTTTGTCTTTACTCTTCTCTTCTCCAACTTCTTTTTTTTACACTTTCCATCTTTTCCCTGTCGCTCTCTCTGTTTTCCACTTCTGTGTTCTCAATCCTGCATCTTTTTCCTTCTTTTCTTCGTCCTCCGTTACTTCTTCTTCTTCCTCTTCCTGTTGTTCTTGTGTGTGTGTGTGTGTGTGTGTGTGTGGACGTTTAAAAAGCAGCAGATCTGTTTCTGTCGTTTTCGTGTCTCAGATTTAAAACACAGTTTAATAAGCAAAGTGAGACTAAAGTTATTAAATAATTGGTGAAGGAGAGGAGGAGGAGGTGTGTGCAATGCAGCTGTATGCTTTGCTGATGGCTGCAGGTTTCACACACACACACACACACACACACACACACAGGTTGATTGGATACTGTCTGAGGCAGCCTCTTACTCCATTACAGATATTGACACAAAACTGGCACTAAGCTGTGGCCTCCTCCTCCTCCTCCTCCTCCTCCTCCTCCTCTTCATCCTCCTGTTGTCTGTGTGAAGATGTGTGTGTGTGTGTGTGTCACTGCAGTCTCTGACTGTCTTCACTGAGACTCTGTTGTTGTATTATTTTCCTCTCACCTCGGTCTCTCTCTGACTTTCTCATGTGCTCTCTCACTTTTTTGTCGTTCCCACACTCTGCGGCTCTGTTTGTGTTATGACTCTCATATTTCGACCTCCCTCGCTCTTTCTCTCTCTCCCTCTCTCTTCTCTCTCATAATGTTTTCCCATGCTCTCTCCACCTCCATCTCTTGAGAGTTCACACCACTTGTCTTTTTCTTTCGTCTTTCTCCTTCATCTCTCGCTCTCTGCTTCCTCCTTGTTGTGTTTCTTTCTGAGCGTCCCTCTCGCTCTCCTCTCTCTCTCTCTCTCTCTCTCTCTCTCTGTTTTCCTGTCTTCCTTTCCTCGTCCCTGTCTCACAGTCGTCTGTCCATCACATCCTGTGGACAGTTATTGTCACAGCTGTGTTTTCTCAGTCAGATGACGGTGATAAGTTTACTGAACAGTGTGTCCCGCTCTCTCTCGTGTGTGTGTTTTTTGTGTGGTGTGTGTGTTGTGTGTGTGTGGTGTTTTTTCATGCGTGTGTTTGGTGTGTGTGTGTTTGGGGTGTACAGGCAGTGCCATGGTGGTGGTGCGGCCTTCCCACGTCCCAGCTGAGCAGTGCGAGAGGCAAACCGAAACATAAACCGAACACTGGAACCATTGTCGTGAATGTCGTTTTGTCTCCCCCCCTCTCTCCTCCCCCGCTCTCACCCGTCTCTCACTGGGACTCCATTGTCCTCTTCATCTTTAATTCACTGCTATTATTTGAAAATGAGAAAATAGACACACACACACCCACACACAGCCCCTCCCTGTCCCACTGTTTATCATCATTTTATAGATGTTGTTGTTTGCTTTTTTTTTCTCTCTCCGTCTTTATTCACGAGTTTGAGACGTTTCGTTCTTCACGCATGTTCAGATTTCTTCTAATTCTTCCTCTGACTCGCTGCTCGCGCTCGTCTTTGTCTCCACACCGTTCAGGAGCTGCACAAACTCCTCAGACTCCTGTGACAATCCACCGACCAAATACTCAGGTCGGCCGTCGGCCAATGACTCATCACTTACCCCTGCACGTCTCTTCATGGTGGTCACTGTTGGACCAGGGTAGCCCCCCAGGCTAACTGCTGGAGAAGACGCCGCCATCTTGGATCAGGCGGATTAAAAAGCTTCATAATGTTTCTCTCTCTTATTTTTATGATCTGCCTGCAGTATGGTTCAGATGATGAGATGAACAGCAGGTTTACGACGGTGCAGACCTGGTTGGTTTATTATGTGGAGTAAGAATAAAAGTTTGTTTATAATCACTGTGGTTCTGCATCATGCGCCCGGTCCAACATGGCAGCAACGTTTATGCATCACAGCTACGTCTGTGATGCTCCGCCCCCTCACTGAGTCTGTGAACGTCCTTCCAAGATAAAAAAAAAAATAATGACATAAATGAATCTGTGGTTTTTCACTCGACCAGCAGATTTGATCTATGAAGCCTTTTCGTCTCAGATCTTCAGCAAACCGAGGAGCTGAGATGTGACATATGCCCACACGTGCAGACTGACTCTGATTTATTGCTTTACGTGACGTTTCAGAGAAGTCGAACGTTTTTTTCTTCTTCTCTTCTTGTTCTTTTCACTTTCGCCTCGCTTGTGAGTCTGACACTGAGTTGAATTTGACGTCTGCAGGAAAGTGACGGCAGGTTCATGAGCAGAGGAGAGTGTTCACAGCGTGATGCTGTCAGTGATCATAATAACTAATTGATCAGTGAAAATCAAACTTGTAAACATTCACTTTTTTCCAGCTTCACAAATATATGAAAGGAGGTCGTTTTTATTTGGTCGGATCAAATAAACAGTTTCCTGACACACAGCCACTGGCATGGCTTCCTGGCCTTCAGGAGGTGGAGTCACACAGTTTTCCCAGAATTCCCTGCAGCATTCCACGATTTGACCGACAAAGAATTAACAGTAAACGTGAGATAGTGTGTTGACACACACCCACACACTCTCTGTCCTCTCCGCAGAGGAGCCTCTGTCTGTAGATGTGGAGCTGGAGCACCGACACCGAGGTCGAGTGATGTCTGCATTTAACAACAAAAAAACCAAAAAAAAGTGGAAAAATTTCAAAATAAGCGCACCATGTAACTGAGAGTGCATTTCTTTAACAGTGGTTAAACACATGTTGGATCTGTGTTAAAGAACCAAATCGGTCTCTTTTAACCTGCAGAGACGCGTCACCTCCGCGGACTGTTTGTAAACAGACTGCCTGGTGCTGTGGCTTGTGTTCACCACCACCTCATGCAAATGTGCAGTTATTTCTGGTCTCAGGAAACTGTCAGGTCTGAGAGCATTTAGAGGAGTTATTGTCATAATCACTGTGTGTGTGTGTGTGTGTGCTGCAGGTAAATACGAGTCTGGGCCCAGGGAAACTTTTTATGAGTGTGTGTGATTTGCAGGAAGTGACTGACACGTCCATGCAGCTTTTAATAATGCTATTCTGTTCATCTCGTTCCTTAGCCTCCAGTTGCGTCAAGTCAAACTCAGCATAAACATAAACGGCAAAAAAAAAAACAAACAGAAAAAAAAAAGGACGTCGCTGTTGAGCGCGCAAGGGGTTGAGATGATTTTCTTTCTCCATTTATTTTTTACTCTGCAGAGTCATGATGTGTGTGTCTTGTCTCTTGACTGTGGTGTGGTGTTGAGCTGTTGGAGCACTGCTGTCAGCCATGTCACCTGAAACAGCTCCACTAATGGGAATCTGTCCAGCACAATGCTCCTGTAGTGACACCACACTCGCTGCAGTGTCCTCATCCCACACTCCCTGTATCTGTGTGTGTGTGTGTGTGTGTGTGTGTAGGAATGTGTCTGAATCCTGGTTGTTGTTGTTTTTAAATGTATAAAATTGCTCTCTTTACAACAGCTGCTGGTCTAATTGGTGCTGCATCATGTTTTATCTCTTATTTTTGAAATGTTAAGAGCCAAAACCCATCTCCTCTCTCAGCTTCTCGCTGGAGCTCCAGTAACAACAGATCGGTGTCAGCCAATCAGGAGAGAGAGAGGGTGGGGCTCTGATCCTCTCTTCTGATTGGCTGAATGTTTTCTGAGTGATTCAATAAAAATCGGAGCAGATTTCAGATTAAAACACTCAGAGAAACCAAGAAAGTGTTGGATGAAGGATTCAGGTGGTGGGCGGGCTTGTGGCTGCTTTTGTTGTGACATCACAAAGTGATGGGAAGTCCTGACGGCTGGTTTTAAGGCTCAGTTTCTGAATACAGGCTGTGTGCATTAATAAAGAACCTAGAGCTGCTTTATAATCACACCACACATGGACGTCTACCTTTATACCGTGCGGAGCTTTAATGTGTTTTGTTCAGGTCTGTAGACGTCTTACTCTCATGAGGCCTGGCTTTCTTGTATGTGGTGTTTTTGCAGCAGGAAGAGTCCAAAATCAAAAACAGGTTGCAGATTAGAAAACAAAAACAAACATTAGCTGAAAGATGCTCAAACGTGGAGGTGAGATGATTCAGTCTGTCACAATGAGTGTCCTCCACATGAGGTTTACAACAAATCTATTTATATCAAGTGCTGCTTAAAGTTTCACTGTGTATACAAGAGTGTTCAGTTGAGAGATGATGAGTATCAATGTTTGGCCTTGAAAAAACCACATGTGTCTTTTGAAACCTTGGAAGGAAGAAGGACACACAGAGTGATGGAAGTGA